TCCAACCTCTTCATTTTACAAATGAGGAAACTGATCCCAAGAGAAGTGAAGTGACTGGCCCAAGGTCCTGCAGGAAGGAAATGTCAGAGTCTGGTGCACCGCTCCAAAGGCAGTACTCTTTGCCCTACTCCGTGTTGCCTGACAACTCTGGCTTAGACCCTCATGGCAAAGCTAGGAGCCAGGGGTGAAAGTGACAGAGGGGCTAGTTTACACCTGAGGCAGGAAAAAACCTCCTTATAATTAGACCTTCCCTTAAGAGGAATGGGCTGCCTCTGGAAGGAGTGAATTCCCAGTGGCTGGAGGTCCGCAAGTGAAGGCTGGTTGAACATTTGTTGGTATATGGTAGAGATGATTCTTATTCAGGTATTGGGTGGATTAGCGGGACCTTTGAAATCCCCTCCATTCTGTGGCTTTGTACCATCATCCTCAATATTTTGAAGATTTTTCATTTAATCCTATTATTTTATCCCTACAAGAACCCACTTAACAGATGAGGAAATGGAGGCATAAAGTGGTTAAAAGCAACTTGCCCAAGGTCTATGGCTTAGTACGATGTCAGGCACACAGTAGGTACTTAATAAATATTTGTTGATTGATTGATTAACCACAGAGCTGGATAACAGAATTTTGGAGTTGGAAAGGGTCTTCAAAGCAATTTCAGCTGACTCCTGCATTTCAGCATATGGGGAAACTAAGGCCCACAATGGGAAAGTCATTAAATACAGGTCATACAAGTCAGTGGTGGAAGTCAGGATTAAAGCCCAGGTCTCCTGACTCTTCCCCTAACTCTCATTCTGTTAGGCCATGCTCTCTCACTTTCACTCCAGCCCTCATCACTCTCTACTTTTTCATTCTCCATTTGGATGTATTATCACTTTCCTCTGTATTGCTTTCTTATAGTCTCTTCTTGCATTTCATGTGCTTATTTTTTCAAATGGTATGGTGGGAAAGAACACTGGTTCTAGAGCCAGAGGCTCTGGGTTCCGATCCACCTCTGTGATCTCAGGCAAGTGCCTTATCATCTCCAGGGTCTCATTTTTCTCATCTGTAAAAGGAGAGAATTGGAATTTTTGACATTTGAAGTCCCTTCCAGTCTTAGATGTAGGCTTCGAAGTTCTTTTCTTCCCCAGTAGCCTTTGCTATTTTGTCTTTACTTGTTGCTTCTGAGTCTCTCCTCCCCTCCCCTCAAAGTCCAGCCTCTGTCCCCCAAGGTTTCTTGACAACCACGTGGAAATTTTCCTCCCCAAACTGACATATGGAGAATAAGCAGATATACCAGATAGGTGGTAATTTCCTCCTGTATTATTACAGCTTCTTGAGAACTGTGAAATATTCTCAATTAAGCGATAAATATTCATGGGGGTGGGAAAAATTCCATTTTTCATCTTTTACCAGGGTTTCTCAAATTATCAGTGGGGAGGCTTGGTTATCAGAGCCAGAGTCCATCAGAATGAGCCTACAAGGTGCTTGGCGGTGAATGAAAGATAAAAACTTATTTCAAATTAAATTTGCTTCCAATCCATCCCGATAAATGGGTCTTATCTCCAGAGCCACTCTTGTGGAGAAACTTGTAATTCATTTTACAGCTAAGACAAGCTTTATGCATCCAGTGCCACAGAGCAAGGCCCTGCTGGAAAAAAAAAAAGACACAAGCAATACCTGGGCGTCCCTGAAGCAACTTCTGAAACCTAACTTTGGACCACAAAGAGATGCCATCCCTTTGTTCAGATTCAAAACTTTACTCTTCCCCATCATTTTGGCAGGTGATAAGGGACCTGAAAAATCCTTAAAGAACATGAAGGTAGGTTCTTAGTGGAAAGGGGACCGAAACTCCAAAGAGGCTTCTGTTGTTCCAGATATATCCCCTATTATTATTGTTAAATTTTATATATCATAATATTAATACACAATAGTATATATATATATGATGTATACATATATATGTATATATGTATACATATATATAAAATTCTGTAATTCTACTTACTACATTATTGGATAAAATTACATATAATTAAGTGCCCCCTACACTCGGCAAATCTAATGTAAATAAGGTCAAATTTACTTAAATCAATCTGCTCTGCTATGGGCATTCCCTCTAATATTATAGACGCCTGCTCATTTCCACTGCCCATTGGTATCCACCTACCAATCTTCCAAATAAGATATCTCCTATGATAGCCAGCCCTTATATTGTTCTTTAAACCATGCAACAAACTCAATATTCATTATCCTGTTTTAGTCTCATAATAACCCTGACAGGTAGGTATTATCATTCCCATTACAGAGGAGAAAACTGAGGTTCAGAGGGTAAAGTAGCTTGGCTATGGGAATTCACCCAATAAATGTTAATTGCAGACTTTGAACTCAGATCTCACCTCTGGCCCCTATATGATGTTGCCTCTAGGTCTATTAATATTTAGCCCTCAGCCTGTCCCTGTTATCCCTCACTCCAATGACATTATCGACCCAGCTTTTATTCTGATCATACATCCTCTGGGTGATATTTGTTCATGCTGAAAGGGCAGCAACATGGAGGGGATAGAGAGCTGGCATCCCAGTCTCTACTCGATATATACTGGTTGTTTGACCCCTGGGAAAGTCTATAAATTGTAGAGCTGTTGCTGATCTGTGATGGTGAAGGGAGTGTTCTTACTGGGAGCCCCCTAAACCAATAAAACCAGGGGTCTGATAAAAACAAACAAAAACCAACCCAAATCTCTTAGAATACTTCCTGTGTGAAAATCACCATTGGTAATATGTGGCAGCCTACTTACACCCATCATTGTCTTTGGGTCAATTTTCTAAATTGAGGTGTACCATGATTTGTAACTATTTGGCATAAAGACAGAATATTGGTGTTAAAAAGCATTGCCTTTCTGGTTCAGGAAACACCTTGGGATTGCTTAAATGCATCAAAATTTATGGGAGAGCTAAATCAGGGACTGGTTTATTTAACTTACATAAAGGAATTTAAATATTTACAAAAGGTTTCACCATTGAAATTTTTTTGGTATTTTTAAAAATAGTTTTATTGATATCTTTTGCTTTTATATCACCAAATTCTTCCCTTGAGGCCCCACACCACCTTATTTAAAATGTGACTTGATTTCCCCAAATTTATGTCAAGCACTTTTTTTTCAGGAAGACCACTACTGTGGTTCCTTGGGATTTGCTTTTGGAATGGGGGTGAATTGGGTTGTGCCAAATATAAGAAAAGAGTAGGAAGGAAAGCTTTAGTGAGACAATAGCCTGACTAGAAAGCCCAGTGGTGTCATGGAAGTAAGTGGCTGGAACCAGACCTGAATTCAAACCCCATTTGCTGGCTTTAATGTTTTAGAAGGACAGTAGTGCAGCTGCTAATAAAGATTAGTTTATTCAGTGATTAAAACCCTCACTGACATGGGTTCATACTACTAAGTCTTTCTGCTTTCTGTTTAGTAATCAATTTTCCCTGGAAAAAGGAACAAGAGAAATAAAGTTCATTTTTACTGAAAGACTTCAGCTAAATAGATGATATTTTTTTTATTTAGTAATTTGAAATCACCATAGTTCTCTGGACCTTATTTTCAGGTTTCCAAGGTTTCCCTGTTTTCTTGTCTGTGAAGAGAGGAGGACTGAATTAGATGATCTTTTAGGTTCATTCTAGCTCTAAATTCCGAAAATAAAATCAAGGTGTGTGGAGAGATTGTGCATAATCTTTTAACATATACCCTGCTATAGCCCTTCCAGTGGAATAAAAGGACAAATAAACAAGGACTCATAGAATGTTATAGCTCTAGAAAGATTTCAGCTATCATCTAGTCTGTTACTATCCCCATTTGACAGATGAGGAAACTGAGGCTTAGATACATTAATTCATCTGCCTGAACTCACTTAGGTTGTTCGTGGCAAAATTAAGACAAGATTTCAGGTCTTATGACCATGGCAGATTGTCAGAGGAGAGGAATTTCCACTACCCCCTAAAATTGTAGACCCTTTTTGTTGGAAAGGAGCTTTGAAGCCATCTTGGACCTGAAATACAAATTTCAGCTGTGATATCCCTAACAAACGGTCATCCAGTCTGCACTTGAAGACCTCAGGGGATGGTGAATTTACTACTTGCAGTTCTCTTTTAGTGGACAGCTTTAATTGGAAGCAGGCTCTTCTGCTCTCAATCCCCATTCTACTTCCCTGGACCATCTGCCCATCACGATTAGTTCTGTTCTTTGGTGTCCGGGATCATGGCCGTGCAGGGAAAGGCAAAGGTTAGCGTATTACAGGCATAAAAGAAGGCTGACTCACGTGGGGGTAGTTTGAGGGACATCATCGCCTTACCACTGGTTCATGTTCTTTATGGTTTGAGCTCTTGACTTCCCCAGCTTTAGACAACAACTCCAAACTTCCCTATGGGCCTCAGTTTCTACTTCCATGAAATGATGGAGTTCACGTGGATTGTCTCCATATCTATTTCTTATGACTCTATGATCCTTTTCTTACGCTTGGCAGAATCCTTGGATGAGGTCATCCTGTAAACTCTGGTTTGACTCGGCCCAACCTCCTGTCCAAGCAATTAGATCACTGCTGAGCTCTCATTCCTCTTCCCTATTAGGGACCATTTTCTTAGGCTTGGTTAGCTGACTCTGAATCACCAGCACAGAGGCCTAACGCCTCCCCAGGGGCTCACAATCCTCTAGCTCCATATGATTTACTCTGGCCTACAGGGCCTTGGTCTTCTGCCTCGTAGATCCATACAAAAATGGACATCTTCTTTGGTTCTTTGGGGAGGTAAGGGACGAGGGATATGGACCACTGCATATAACATCAAATATCTTAACATATTTAAATATGCTGAACTTTCTCCACCCCCACCTTTTTCATGGTTTATTATAAAAGATAGGTATCTGTGACGGCATTGAGAAAGGGATGCATTAGGAAACACAGGTGATATAAAAATCAGTCAGTCAACAAGCGTTTTAAATGGCACCGGCAATACAAATACAAGGAGAAAGAAAGAGTCCTTGCCCTCAAGAAGACTACATTCAGAAGGGGGAAAACAACACATGAAAGGAATCTGTAAAGGGAGGGCAGGATAGACAAAGGTACTGGGTGTGGGACATGGTAAAAGTCCAGAGTGCAGCCTGGAGAGGAATGAGCTGGGCTGCTGTGGGTGGGCTTCTTCCTGAACTGGAAGTTCTGAGAGGAGCCATCTCATCCCAGGAGGAGGGTGCTTCCAATGTGTGAATTCCAAGGCTGGAGGGAGGCTTCTGGATGAAGAGCTGGGGCATAGGACAGGAAGTCCAGAGTGCAGCCTGGGTAAGAGAAGATAAAAGCCCCGAACAAAAAGTATCAGTAACATTGACAAAAAAAGAAGTAGATGCTTCTAATGCAGGGCCTTAACTCTTCTAGGGTCATGTACTCCTTTGATGGTCTGGTCAGTCAGTCCCCAAGCATTTATTAAGTGCTTACTATGTGCCAGGTCCTGTGTTAAATGCTAGGGATACAAAGGAAGACAAAGGGCAGTCCTTTCCCTTAAGAATGGTTGTGATTGGGGCAGCTAGGTGGTACAATGGATAGAGCTCTGGCCTTGGAATCAGGAGGACCTGAGTTCAAATCTGGTCTTTGACACTTACTTAGCTGTGTGACCCTGGGCAAGTCACTTAACCCTGATTGCCTAGCTCCCCCCCCAAAAAAAAAGGCAAGAATGGTCATGACTTAGTGGAGACAACATGTAAACCATATATGTATGTATATATAATAATGTATATGATATATATGATTACACACACACACACACACACACACACACACACACATAAGATAAACTGGAGAAGGAAAGGTACTAGCATTGAGGAGGATTGGGAAAGGCTTCCTATTTTAACTGAGGCTTGAAGGAAGCCAGAGAAGGTAGAAGATGGAGATGGGAGCAGAATTCCAGTTATGGAAGACAGTGAAAATGTTGAGGTGGGAGATGAAGTGTCTTGCCTGAGAAACAGAAAGGAGGTCAGTGCCCAGTGATCGCAGAGTGTGTGGAAAACAGTAGGATATGAGGCTGAAAAGGCAGGAGGGAGCTAGGTTATGAAAAGCTTTGACTGTCAAACAGAGGCTTTTATATTCGATCCTGAAAGTAATGGGGAGCCATTGATGTTTATTGGCTAATGAGGTAATGTTTTTAATCCTATAGATGAAATTTTATGCTTTGAAAAACCTTATTCTGAGAAGAGGTCTCCAGGCTTCACCAGACTGATTCGGTTATAGCTGGTGACTTAGCAATTTCTCAGAGTAAGGTCCTTAAATGCACAAAATTTCATTTATAGGATCTCGAAGGAAACCAATTATGTTGAAATACAGTTATCAAAATATTTTTTAAAATGTATCTCACAGACCCAGGTTAAGATTCGCTGGCTCCTAGAGGAGTAGGTGCTAGGTGGTAAGCATAGTTCATGCCAGCACTTGAAAGCTAGTGAAGAACTAGAGGGAACACAATATAAGGGGAAGTAGGTAGATATCAGGCAGCAAGTGGATAGAGTTTCAGGCCTGGAGTCAGGAAGACTCATCTTCCTGAGTTCAAATCTGGCCTCAGACACTTACTAGCTGTGTGACACTGGGCAAGTCACTTAACCCTGTTTGTCTCAGTTTCCTCATCTGTAAAATGAACAGGAGAAGGAAATGGCAAACGACTCTTTGCCAAGTATCTTTGCCAAGAAACCCCTAAATGGGGTTGGGAAGAGTTGCACACAAGTGAAACAACACCACAGCAAAGGTAGATGTCAGTGAGGTGATGGTTTGCTTCATGCAACTTTTCTGCCTAAGGCAATATTCTTTCTTATTGCTCTCCTGAAGAACATTCATTCACTCATTCAACCAACAATTATTAAATACTTATTCTGTGCCAGTCATTATGTTAGGCACAGGTACCGGACAAATACAAAACTATTTCTGCCCTCAGGGAGCTTACATTCTATTGGGAGCAGGGGATACTAACATGCACCCCCATAACTAAGTAAAATATATATATATAAATGTCCATGCCTTTTTTTGTTCATTGATAGAAGGAACTCCCAAGTGAAGGACTCCCTCTCTGCCCCTGCCATTGCAGATGGTCACTTTCTCTGCAACCTCTCTGAGAAGCTGAGTGACTTGCCAGTGGGTCACACATCTAGTGTGTCAGAGGCAAGACAGGAACCCAGCTCCTGGGCAAGTTCTCTATTAGCCAAGGCCCTCCATGAAATGCACCTCAGTGTGGGCCTTGATGTTGCATGGCTAAATAGAAGCATTTTCATCCTTCTTCTATAGGACAACTCTTCAGAAATCCTCAACTAGAAAATGAGGGGGTTGGATTAGGTGACCTCCAAGGTCCCTTCCAGGTCTAAAGCTATGATTGTATTTGAATTTGGCAGTCAGGCATGCACTGTCCCGACCTCAATCAACAGCCCCGGTTTTTTTTTATTCTTTAAGCCAAATGATAAAGTCAGCTGCTTATTTCTTCTGTGTATGTTGCCTTCTCTGGCTGACTGTCTGTGCCTGTGTTTGACTCAGTCTCTTTCCTACCAAGGCAGGTATTAAAAAACCAAACTCCCTGAAGGCCAGAATATCACAGCTGCCAGAATCCTGATCCCATCTGGTCCCATGCCCCTTACATAAGCAGAATTCCTCCTCCTACCTACCAGGACCTGCAAAAGGAAGACAAAAGGAACAGGGCTCATGCAAGAGAACACACACACACACACACACACACACACACACACACACACACACACAAAAGACAGAAAGAGATGAAAAAAGGGACCAGCCTTCTAAGCAGCTGTCCAAAGTACCAGTCTTATCTAAAGATAGAAATTAGCAGTGGGGAATGGCTCATTTTAAAGATCCCAGTCCCCTGAAGCTGTCTTGCCACAGAGAACCAGTGATCCAAGCAATGCTGTGGCATCTATTAGTCAAGAATGAATTCTCAGCAACACAGTCAGAAATCACAACCCAGACTGAATTTAGCTTTCAGACCTTAGTCCAATAACAGGATGTCAGATCCCTCTGGGGAGAGATGGGAAAGACGAGGTAACCTCCCATGGTGTTTTGATTCCCTTCCCTGGCCTACTGTGTCATTTAGATTCAGTAACTTCTATAAGCTTTCAAAATGTTAATGCTGGAAAATACTAGCCCAAGTTCCCATTACAAAGATGAAGAAACTGAGGCTAAAGAGGGGAGTTTGAGTTGTCACATAGAAAGTCAGTAGCAGAGCCGTGACTAGAACCCAGGTCCCATCGCTCCCCTTCCTCTTCTGGATTTGTTATTGACAAATGTTCAGTTCTCTTCTACCTCCTCTGGGCTCCATTTTGTACTGAGGCTAAACAACTCTGTCCACTACAGCTTCAGATATGGCACCGAAGACCTTCTCTGATGGAGGAATACCATTCTTCAACCTGGGACAAGAGTGAGACACATGAGCTCTCTCCTTGAATCTGTTCATAGGAAAGATTAGAGCTTTAGCAAGAGAGGAACATCCGATTGCTTTGCAAACCCTATGGAGAAGAGACCTTAGAGTTTCTGTTTAAGAAATCTTGCTATTCCTTGCATATGTCACTCATTCTCCCACCTCCATGCCTTTGCATAGATTGTCATCAGTGCCTGGAATTCCCAATCAATCAATTAATAAGGGATCATTAAAAGCTTCTTAAGTGATAGCCACCTTATTAAGGGCTGGGAATACAAAGAAAAAGAAAAAAAACAGTCCTTGCCCACCAATGGCTTACATTTTAATGAGGTTGGGGTCAGGTGACAACATATGTAAATCATTACTAACAAGATAAATAAAAGACAGGTGGAAGGTAGACTTAGACGGGACAGCACTAGCACCCGGGGAGACAGGAATGACTTCTTGTGGGAGGCAGAGCTTCAGCTTGGTCTTAGAGAAAGTCAAGGATTCCATAATTTGGAGGTGAGGAGGGAGAATGCTCTATGATTAGGGTGCAGTCAGGTAAAAGCATGAAGACGTGATCAGCAGCAAGGAGGCCAGTAGAGCTAGACCATAAGGCCCATAGAGCAGAGGAACGAACAAAACTGGAAAGATGGGAAGGGGCTGGGTTGTGAAGAGCTTTAAATGCCAGAGGAGCTTATAATTGATTCTAGAGATAACAGGGAATTATCTGGAGTTTATTGAGCAGGCGTCAGGGAGACATGGTAAAATGCTTTAGGAAAAATAGTGATAGAGTAAAATGCTTTAGGATTTAAGGATTTAATCACTTTGGCAGATATTTGAAGGGTGGACTGGAGTGGGGTGAGACCAAGGAGACAAATTAGAAGGCTAGTCTAGGTAAGGAGTTCTGAGTGTATGACCTAGGTGGCAGCTTCATGAGTGGAGAGAAGGGCCAGACATTGTAGCTTTAGACCTCATGTTCTAATGATTCTGTGGAGAGGAACAGTATTGGGATGCCAACATGGGAGCTAGTACTTGACAAGGAAGCCGAGAATGAAGGTGCTGACCCTTCATATTCCTCCCAGTTTCCTAATTAGCATTTAGGTAGCTTCTGAACCTTAACAGTACTGATTAGCAAATTGGAACTCATAGGCTAATAAATTTGGAGGTGGAAGGGACCCCTGGGATCCCTGAGTCCACTTCCTTGATTTTAAAGATGAAGAAATTGAGGCACAGACAGATAAAATGACTTGCTCATGTCACATACTAGGAAGTATTTGAGATGGGATCTGACTCCCTGACTCTCAGTCCAGTATTCTTTCTACTCCACTAGGAAGCCTCTGAAAGAACATAAGCGGTGATGCAGGTGATGGGCTATAGATCTTCCTCATCCTCATCCTCAACATCACAGATAGCAAATATATAGCATGTGAAGATTTGCATAGCACTTAAAAATACCTCATTTTATTCTAACAACAATCCTTGGATAGAGGTTCTGTTATTATCCCATTTTTACTGTGCCTGACAGAGGTTAAATGACTACCTCAATGTCATGTGTGTAATTAGTGTCAGAGAAGGGATTTGACCTCTCTTTCTCTGATTCTATGGTCAGTGCTCTTTCCATTACCCTCCACTTCCTCCCAGCTCTAGGATAAACTGTATGCTTTATCATTAATCCTAAAATTTAAAATGAGTTTTTCTTCCATCATTTTGGCTTAACAAAGTATCTGGCATATAGTAATTTAATAACTGCTTGCTGATTTAATTTCATGTAGACAATTAAAAGTGATTTTTTTGAGCATTTTACTCAGTTTTCTCAAGGACTAAGAAACTTTCACAAAGAAAGATACAGGCTAATGATACTTAACTTGAAACACCTAGATGATGGGACATTGGAAGGTGGGGACAAGAAAAGTGGAGTTCAGGCCAAAGAATGCCACTGGTTCTCATTCATTGGAGATTAGACTGGACCCCAGTCATCTGAGCTGTCAGTCACCAGAGCCTTGGGTGCAGTGGCCATAAAATCAAAGAATCCCAGAATTCCAAGTGTTGAAAGGGCCCTTAATGGCTATCTGGTCCAACCAAAGGAATCTTCACTACAACTTTCTCCCCACATAGTTGTTCAGCCCCTGCCTGATAACTTCCAAGGAGGAGACACTCATCACCTCTGGAGAGATCTCATTCCACTTTTCATACACCTCTAATTTTAGGAAATCTTTCCTGATGTCAAGTCTAAATCTCCCTCTTTGTAAATTCCATTCAGTGCTCCTTTGTTCTGCTCTCTGGGGCCAAATGGAATTGAATCCCATCTTTTCAAGGAAGCTCTTCAAATGCTCCACCACAGATACGATGTCTTTCTGTGCTTTCTCTGGGCTAAACAGCCCCTATTCTTTCAAATGATACTCACGTGACATTGAGGTAGACCCTTCACCATTTTGGTTTCCCTCCTCTGGACCCTCTCCAGTTTATCAATGTTTTTGGTGCCAGGATTTGAACACAGCACTCCAGATGAGGCCTGGCAAGAGTAGGATTGAGTAGAACTATCCTCTCCATATTCCTAGAAGCCATGGTCTCTTAATGTAGCCCAAGATTGTATTAGCTTTCTTGGCAGCCACATTGTGCTGCTGGCTCATATGAAGTTTACAGTACACTAAACCCATCACACCTTTCTCAGAACAGCTGTCTGGTCATAGCTCTCCAAATTTGTACTTGTAAAATTATTGGGGTTTTTTTGTGTACAAGTTACACTTATCGCCACTGAATTTCATCTTGGCCCAATGTTCTAGTCTAAGATCTTTTTATATCCTTCTTTTGGTGTCCAATGTTAGCTAGCTTTCTCAGAGTTGTAACATCTGCAAGTTTGATAACTTCAAGTCATTGATAAAAATGACTAAAAACACAGGCCCAGCAGAAATGCCTGGGGTACTCTGCTAGAGACCTCTTGCCACATTGACATGAAACTGTTCACAGCTATTCTTTGATTCTGGTCATTGATTGAGTTCTAGTTCATCTGATTGCATTACTGGAAAATCTTTTCTAAAATCTAGGTAAACTATACCCACAACTTCTTTTTCATCTGTTAGTTTAATAATTTTGTAAAAAAGAAAAAAGAAAAGAAATGAAGTTAATAATCTACCATCAGTTTCTCTTGGTGAAGCCCTGCTGGCTCTTTGTAATCACTGCTTCCCTTTCTAGAAGCTCAACAACCATCTCATTAATGATCCTTTCTAGAATTTTCCCAGGAATTGAAGTCAAGCTCATTGGGCTCTAGCTTTCAGATTCTCTTCCAGTTTTTGAAAATTGGTACAACATTTGCCCTTCTCCGGTCTTGTGGCACATTTCTTGATTTCTGTGATTTCTCAAATGCCAAGGATAGTGGTTGAGCAATCACAGCTGTCCATTCTCCTAGGAAGCAGAATATAATTCAACTGGCCATGAAACTTGAATTTATCAATGGCAGTAAGGTACTCTCTTATTATCTCTTTACTTATTTTGGGAATCAACACCCTGTTAGTCACTTTCCTGTCTCATTTCCAGTGAAAAATTCATTGTCCTCAGCAGAAAAGATAGCAGCCTTATTAATTAAGCAGCTCTGCCATGTTACTGTTGTCTGTTGTCATCATTCCACTCACCCCAAACTAAGGTAATATCATTTTTAAAAAATTTTCTGTTTTTATTGTTCTGATTTTCTCTCACTAGCCTCAGTTTATATATGTGTATACACACACACACACACACACACACACACACACACACACACGAGTTCCCTGTGCATTCACATCAGTTTCATCAAACAAATGCAAAATCCCGTATTTCCTCTTCATTGCAATTGTTTCCCTTTCAGAGTTTCATCCTTGAGCATCTCCCATCCTTTTTGTGCTGACTTCTCCTGTAGCATTTTAGCCCGTGGAATCCTATCTATTTTTCCTCTTAACCCTTTGAAATCTGCTTTCCCAAAATCTAGGGTGCTGGTCAGACTATGCCGGGATTTCCTATCTTTCTCTGTCACAAACTCTAGGAGAGATTAACCACTTCTTTCTAGGGTTCTCATCATTCCCACTTTAACAACCAGTTCTTCCCTGTTATTGAGAATCAGATCTAGAATTGGTTGCTTGTTCCACATTTTGAAGTATGAAATCATCACCGAGATTAGTTAAGAAGTTATTAGCTTTTCTTCTTGAAAGAGAGATGGAAACAGACACACAGACAAACAGAGAGAGACAGAGAAAGAGAGAGGGAGGGGGGAGAAAGAAGGAGGAGGGGGAAAGGAGGAGGAGGAAGGGAGAGAGTACTGTAGCAGATGTGGAAATAAATGTAGTCCCCCATTACTACTGCATCACGCCCCTCTGGCAGACTTCTGATCTATATCCTGGACTCCTATTTCTTCTTTCTGCTGTGGTCTATCCATTAAAAAAAAAATCTCCTCTGCGTCTTCCTTCTTCAACTTTCACCCAAATACTCTCTATCATGTAGAGAACATTATGAAATGTAAAATGGATAATTTTGATTACATTAAATTGGAAAGTTTTTGCACAAACAAAACCAATGCAAACAAGATTAGGAAAGAAGCAGAAAACTGGGAAAGAATTTTTACAACCAGTGTCTCTGGTAAGGGCTTCATTTCTAAAATATATAGAGAACTAAGTCCAGTTTATAAAAATATGAGTCATTCACCAATTGATAAATGGTCAAAGGATGTAAACAGGCAGTTTTCAGAGGAAGATATTAAAGCTATCTATAGTCATATAAAAAATGCTCTAAATTACTTTTGATTAGAGAAATGCAAATCAGAACAGCTCTGAGGTACCACATTACACCTATCAGACTGGCTAATATGACAAAACAGGAAAATGATAAATGTTGGAGATGTGGGAAAATTGGAACATTAATGCATTGTTGTGGAGTTGTGAACTGATCCAACCATTCTGGGGAGCAATTTGGAACTATGCCCAAAGGGCTATAAAAATGTGCACACCCTTTGACTCAGCAGTAGCACTTCTAGGGCTGTATCCCAAAGAGATCATAAAAATGGGAAAAGGACTCACATGTACAAAAATATTTATAGCAGCTTTTTTTTGTGGTGGCAAAGAATTGGAAATGGAGGGGATGTCCATCAACTAGGGGATGGCTGAACAAGTTGTGGTATATGAATGTAAGAGAATACTATTGTGCTATAAGAAATGATGAGCAGGCAGACTTCAGGAAAACCTGGAAAGACTTGTATGGATTGATGCTGTGTGAAGTGAGCAGAACCAGGAGGATGTTGTATGCAGTAACAGCCATGTTGTGCAATGACTAACTTTGATAGACTTAGCCCTTCTCAGCAATGCAAGGATCTAAGACATCTCCAAAAGTCTCATGACGGAAAATGCTATCCACATCCAGAGAAAGAACTACGGAGTTTGAATGCAGACTGAATCATATTATTTGCTCTTTTTTTCTTCTATTTTGTTTTGTTTCTTCTTTCTTGTGGTTCCTATTATTGGTTCTAATTCTTCTTTACAATATGACTTATGTGAAAATATGTTTAATAGGAATATATATGTAAAGCCTATATCAGATTGCATGCCATCTTGGGGAGGGAAGTGGGAAGGGAAGGGGAGAAAATTGAAAACTCAAAAGCATACGGAAGTGAATGCTGAAAACAAAAAATTAACTAATTACAATAAAAAATACTCTCTGTCATGCTTTGACTTCCGGATTTCCTTATGTGAGTGTATACTTCATAATATACAGAGCTACTCAACTTCTCTCTTTTACCAATTCTGTTCCTTTTAAGAAAGTTATACTCACCTAGAGCCATGGTCCAGTTATGAGTTTCAATCCATTAAGTCTCAATGATACCTACATGTTAGTTCTTGTTCCTCTTATTTGTTGCTTAAAGTTTGGACATCTGCAGATAAACATTGGAGGTCATGGATTTTACCATGGTGTTTTTCTTGGATTTTGTCTCTTCTGAACTTCTGGATGTTTAAATTGTTATGCTTATTTCTTCTTTGTAACTATTCTCCCTGGCAATAGTCTCCAAAGAAAGAATTCTAGACACCTGAGTCTGGGTTACTACATGGCACAAAAGGGCCAATGGCATAACTCTAAAGGGTATGTAATGAACCAAGAAGAGTGTGGGAAGTTGAATCATATCCCACTCCTTTCATGAAAGTCACTTATGGAGCTTATTTTCAACATAAACACACCTATCATTCAGCAATTATTACTCAGTTCTTCCTCATTCCATCCCCACCCACTGCTGTGCAAATTTCAAATGTTCTTCCTTTTTCACCTAGCACCTTGGCATTAGCACCTCTGGGTAGGTATAATTAAATCAAGACTTGGGCACCCCAGAGTAGCAGATGCACAGGTGTCACAGAAATTCCCTTCTTCTCTCTGCTGTCTTGTTATACTTGCTACCTTTTGATCTATAGCAAAGCCTTATGGCCCCTGAAACTCATGAAAACACAGCTAAACCATCCAATTTTTAATAGGAAAGGAAAGAATGATACTACCCATTAGGCAGAACCACAGAAAGAAAGGAGAATGGATTCATACTGAAAACTTTTATTGAGTTGAAATAAAAGAAAATTCACATTCACTTATTTTTGCACTGTGTATGATGAATATCTACACTCAGAGAAATGAGTCCTGCTGTAAAACTGTTATATTCCCTATTATGACTTATTATTTAATTGTTTTATTGTATTTCAATAAAAGTCATTTCAAAAAGAAATTCACCTGCTTGGCTGGATACATTGATCATATTAACTGAATAATTAGTCATTTGCTGACAATTATTATTTGTGAGTCAGTCATATCATACAAGACATAAAAATAAAATTTCAAAAATTATGAAGCACATTTCATCACATTGTTCTCACTAAAATTTATTATTTACTAATATTTTTAGAGACAGCAAAAGGTTTTTGTGTCATAAATAAATTAATAAATATTTAAAGGTATTATTTCATCTTTAATTTATCCTTTTAAAATTTCTATTTGTTGTGTATGTTCTACAATGTACATAATGTCTTAGTACATGTATATACTGTACAAATAAATATACATATATTGGAAGTGAGTACTCAAAATGTTTTTTCAGGTGGGGTGCATGATTAAAACAATTTGGAGACCATTGCTTTATGGCATCTAATATGGTGGATACACATAGTATTCTCTCTCTTCTGGTCTTTTTGGTTTAGATTTTTTTTGGTTGGATTTTTAAGCTACATACAGCCAAATACATTCTTACCAATCTTTGTTAGTACACTTTGTCTCTGGCCAGGAATGTGTTATCCCTATATTTTAAACTGTGACCCAGACAATCCAAATTTTAGTATCAGATGCTATCTTCTTAGCCAGCTGTTCATGCCAAATTAGTTTTTCTCTTCTTCATCCCTTGCCTCCAGTGGGCGACACTGAGAAAACACAACCTGTGATTTTATGGTCTTCAGTTTCATAATCATTGGCAACATCTTTTTTTGTTGTTGTTCCTTTTGGCAGTGTCATATATGTCTATGTTAATTACTGGAGGTGGGTAGTCATCATCACCTTCGACAAATCTTGAGAGATTCTCTATTATATTTTGGATACGTGCCCCAGGAATACAACAAGTTTCTCCATTGTTATTATAGGGTTGACAAAGAGCTGCCTTAGAACTCCTAAGCACAGAATCACCAACTACTAGCACTCTTCTTCCTTTGATTTAATCATCTCACACCCAAAAGCTTCTATGGCTCTGTTATATCATTCTTTGGAGAACAAGCAGCTTTTCCCTCCAAAAAACATTCATGTTCCTCCTCTTCAGGAAAAGTCTCAAATCTGTTTTCATGTTCCATTGTACAGCTTTACTTTCTCCTTTCTGATGAGGGTCAAGTCTCCCCTCCTTCACCCAAGTAAGATGACCCCTTGTATTGTCCACTGGCTCCTTATTTCTGTTTCTTTTATGAACATTTAATTGTCACTAATCATCTAGAGTTGAGTTTGGAGAGGCATTCTTTGAGTCGCTTTATTTTCTCCTCCAGGAAGGAGATAACTCTATAATTGGTAAGATACAACTATTACCCAGCTGTGACAGAAATACAGTTATCAGTCCCTTGATGAAAGTCACCATATCATTTCCCTCACTCTCTACAACGATAAAGATTTTCTGCTTTTCCCCCCTCTAACTACTTGTGAGTATTTGTATCTCAAGTCTAAGTATATGATCAAAATTTTCACAGCTTGTTATCAACTCTTAGTAACTTGACAGCTCTACTCATCTTCCTTAGTTTCTATGTATTTTTTTTTTTAGGCAATTGGGGTTAAGTGACTTGCCCAGGGTCACACAGCTAGTAAGTGTCAAATGTTTGATCTAAAGCCAGATTTGAACTCAGGTCCTCTTGACTTCAGGGCTGGTGCTCTATCCACTGCACCACCTAGCTGCCCCTCATCTTCCTTAGTTTCAATAACTGCATAGACACATCTACCTGCTCTTCAGACTTGCACTAACCTCTTCTGTTGTACCAATTTTCTTCTCCTATCAATCTACTCTATCAATTTGCTTCACTCTTATTCTTCCACTTGCCTTTTCTAACTTAGTTTGCTTTTTTTTTTGCCAACTACATTTCCCTTATCCTTCTAGAGTCTGTCTGCTTTCTAATCTTTCCTCATCCTCCTTAATTCTGTCATTTCTTCCTTAATTCTCCTTGATTTTGATCTTCTTTCAACTCCAAAGCAGAATCTGGATCAATATCTAAGCCTTGTGATTGTTTTCCTTGAAATTTTCCTTAGTTTCTTCCAAATTTCACCAAATATCTCCTCTTCAAGTTTAACTTCTGACTTACCTTACTAGTCCAAATGCCTGCAAGTCAATTATATGATTTTCTCCTTCTTATTTGGCTCAATTCCTTCTCTCTTCTCCCCTGTCCTCATACAAACTTCTTCGCCAAAAATAAGAATGAATGAATAAAAACACACCTACTAATTGCTTACTATGTGCTAAACACTTTTATAAGTTCCAGGGATACATATGGAAAAAAATTAGATAACCCCTATCCTCAAGGGGCTCATGCTAATTGAGAGAAAGCACATATAAGACAGTTGTTTCAAGGCAAAAGGAAACACTGAGAGGGTACGTAAAAAGCTCCAGAGATCTTTAGGGTTCATTAGTAAGTGGCATGACAATGCTCAGAATTTGGAGGGCATAGAATCAGGGCAGATATTAGGACCAGGTAGTCTCTATTTTACCAGAAGAAATAGAATTGGTAACTTACCTCCCATCCATGTGGTAAGAGCAATCAAACAGCATGGTCTGGGTGGCCTGGACCCAGGAGAGGTGGGAGGAATGAAGGGTAAGTGAGGAAGGGGGCACTCACTGTGGTGGGTCTTCCTGTTGCCCCACCAATCTGCATGGGATTTGGGCTGCCTGTGGCTTGGAGTAGAAAAATGGATAGGAGTCAGCAGTAGTCCACCTGAAAAATTAGTCTTTGTACTTGGCAAACCCTGGAGAGCTTTCTACCTCTCTTCCTCATCATTATGTGGGAAGTCTAGGTCCTCTGTCTCCTATACATTAGGATATCTCACCCTCTCATGGTGATTGTCTCTTCCCATAATGATAAAGAACTCATTCTATTTCCCTTTTTGCTTCAAGAGACAGAAGCAGATGAAATAGCCAGGGGTCAGCCAGTGTTTATTCCTCAGTACTGAGATTAAAAACAGGGAAGAGTTCCCAACAGGTCAACACAAATAATTGGCAAGGATGATTACAAAAGTACATAGCTTTGCAAAGGCATTTCGCTAGGAACACAGAGGTCAAGAAAGTGGCTAAGAAAGAGAAAGCCTCTCTGTTGGATAATGTCTGAAATAATTCTGTCGTCACAAAGCCTAGACCATATCGGCATTGACATAGCATTTCTGATTAATGTTCTGATGCTCGGAGGCAGGCTTGGGGACTGGATATACCACAGAGAACTAAGGCATGACTTTAGCATTCATCGATTGCTGTTTTAAGTAATAACAGAAGAAAAACGTGTGTGGAAGCAGATGTAGGCCAATAACTTATATTTTCAATCCGTGCTGGTTCCTAGTCCGTGGGTCAGAGATCTCTAGGAGCCTATGCAGTTATTGCAAGAGTTCCATTTGATTAAAGACTCAGGCCAAATATTCTTCTTCATGATGTAGCACATGGATTCTTGGATTCAGAGCCAAGAATACCTGGGCTCACATCCTGTCTCTGAAATTTACTAGCTAGGTGACAATGGGCAAACTCCTTAACCTCTTTGAGTGCTCATTTGTAAAATGGTAATGATAATAATGGAGGAGACACAAATGGAAGGTGGAATGGAGCTTAGGGGGCTGGCCTCAGTGTCAGGGAGACCTGGGTTCAAGTTCCTCCTCAGACACACTGGCCATGGGACTTAGGCCATTCGCTTCACCTCTGCATGCCTTAGGCACGTTCATAAGAGTCTAAGTTGCATAGCAGTGGCAGAAGGAGTTTCCACATCACTGAGTTCCCAATACCAAGGCGATCACAGGTCTAGTAAAAAACAAAGAAACTAAAACAACCCCAAACCATAGTAGCTTGCTAACTGGGTGGGCATGAGTCACAAATGTAATGAATATAAGCCACATTGCAAATATGATATATGCAAGTCAACTATTATTAGCTTGAAGACAAATATTACTGTTTTTTCAAAAGGTATGATATTATTTATAAAATATTAATTCAGTTAAAAACATCACTATATTCACAGTTTTTGTTCTTTAATCAATAGATAGCAATACAGTAACTACTATCTTTTGGACAGTGGATAAATTTTTTCATGCTTAAAAAGGGGTCCTCATCCTTGAACATATGTGTATGGGAACCACTGCTGGAAAGTACCTTTAGTCTCATGAACTTCTCATTGCTTAGATTAAGAAAGCATAGCCTAAACTCATAAATTGTTTTGAAAAGCATAAGAGAAAAGATGAGATTCACTGTTTATTAAGCTCGAGTTCTCCATTACTAACTGTCTATTGGACTTCTTGAACTAGGTGTCTTGTAGGCATCTCTC